CAGCTAGCCAAATGGCATGTCATTGTGAAGATTAAATGAGTTAAATGCTAAACTAAATTAAATTAGTAAATTAAATAAATTAGTAAATTTATTTTACTACTACTATAATTTATTACTAAATTATATTAGTAAATAAATTAGTAAATTAAATTAGATTAAATAAATTAAATGAGTTTAATGCTAAACTCTTAAAACAAAGTTTGGTGCATGACAGATGCTCCAGAGAGATGACCTATTTTTATTAGCAGTGTGTCAAGAACTTAGAACACGGCTGTACTGGTGTTGTTTGCTTTTTTTTTTATACGATCATTCATTTATTTAGTCAGTCAACAAACCTTGCCCACATGTCTTCTTCATGCCAGGCAAGACTTGGGGAGCCAGGGAGAACATGACCGTCCCTGCCCTCAAGGAGCTTAAAGTCTAGCAAGAAGCAAACAAGCAAAAATGCAGCCGGAATGTAAAAATCAAGAGAGGCCTGGGGGAGGTGGGGATAAAGAGGAAGCTCTAATCTAGTCTGGAGGGAGGGGAATGATAAGAAGATGATAATAGCAGAGATGTATTTTGAGGAATACATGACAGATGTAAAGAAGCCTGCAGAACGGTACGTATTCAGTTCCTAGAAGTGGTAACTCTGCTGCACCCTTTGTGAGAGAACCTGGTGGATTAGGGGAGAGAAAAAGAGACAGATAGACAGACAGGGTGTTCTAGGAACGGCAAGCAGCGTGTGCAGCTGGAGCCCAAGGTGGCCATGGGCAACTCCTGGGCCATAATACAGCTTAGAAGATCTACAGGTAGGAGCTGAGGGGCTACAGAATTTAAACCACCCTCTAGGCCACATGGGTTTCCAGCCCTAGTACTTTGTACTGTTCCACTGAAAAATCAAAAAGATTCCAGGATCAAGTCTAATAAATTTCCAAACCATGCTTGCTATTGAGTCATTAAAGGCGCTAAGAAGTCTGCGAGAAAGAACGCAATTGAACCTCGTCATTTCCCAGACATGTTTGACCTCAGAATCATTTCTCCTCCAAAATCTATGAGCCTAACATGGCTGGTGGCATTCCTGGGAATACAGATTGTGAAACAGCCATCGTGATAGGAAGACCTTGAGGCAGGGTACTGCCGTGGTCTGAGTTGCATATCAGAAAGCTAACTCCCCCAGAAGCAAGGACGGACTGGAGAAGGAGACTCTGGAAGCCAGAGGACGGGTGGAGAAGCTAGTGCAGGAGACCAGGAGGAAGGAATGGAGATCTGAACAAGGGCCATGTGTTGGCGAAGAGGAGGAAGGGGATACAGGAGCTGAGGAGGGAGAGTCATCCGGCATTGATGGCTGAATTTAACTGTTCCAATAATGGGAACTCCCTGAACCTGGAAGTCAGGACCAGGAGTTCTGACTTGAGCCCTGAGTTGGTGAGTTGTGGCCAAGGCAAGCCACTCTCGCCCCTCAAGCCCGGTGGCCAATTCTAACACAGAGGGGACGATGACAAGATGGTTTCCAAGGGACCCTGCACCCCTGCTGTGCTGACAGTCCTAGGCTGTGAGCTGTCTCTACTTCTGAAGCAGGCAAGCAATGTGCTGGACCAGCTGTATGGCCCCAGGGTGAAATTGACATGCATTGATTAAGTGCCTACCATGTACTTGGCTGAGTTCCAGCCTCTGGGACAGAGGGAAGGAAGGTGGCAGCTTTCATCAGGACCCATCCTCAGGTAAGTCCATCACCCCTGGAAGTCACCTCAGTATAGGAGAAAGGACTTTGGAATCAGATACTGAGAGAGGCTAATCCCAGCTCTGCCATCCCAGCTGGCTGACGTGGAGCAAGTTCCCAGCCCCTCTTACTAGTCTCCTAGGGCTGCACAACAAAGTCCCACAAATGTGGTGGCTTGGAGCAACAGAAATTCATTCACTCACAGTTCTGGAAGCCAGTAGTTCAATATCAAGGTGTCTGCAGAGCCGTGCTCCCTCGGAGGTGTAGGAGAGGCTCTTGCAGTTTCCGGGGGCTCCAGGGCTTCCTTGGCTTGTGGCCGCATCCCTCCAGGCTCTGCCTCCTCCCACGGCTTTCTCTTTCTCTCAAATCCACCTCTTCTTTCTCTTAGAAAGGCATCAGCCATTGAATCTAGGAAGGGTCCACCCTGAATCCGGGATGGCTTTATCCTGACGTCTGTATTAATGACATCTGCAAAGTCCCTATTTCCAAATAAGGCCCCGTTCACAGGTACTTGGACATATCTTTTGGGGACACTTCACCCAACTACACCCCTTCATGTCTCTGCCTCTTCATCTGGAACGTGGAGATCATTGTAGACTTGTTTTATTGGGCAGTTGGGAGGATGAAGAGAAGTAGTACGTGTAAAATCCTTAACAAAGCACCTGGCAAGCTGTAGTTTCCATACTCATTCATTCATGATGAAATGATGGTGACAGGTCTGTGTCTTGTACCTGTCCTTCAAGCTCTAATCCTGTATGATGCCCTCGCCTCTAAGCACTGATCCAGGCCACTAAAGCAGCCGTTCTGGTGGCATATGGATTGTGACATAAAGGTTGTTTATGTTCTCTCAGCCCCAGCTGTGCAAGGGAGGAGAGACTGTCACCTTCTCTGGGAGTGGGGTCACAGGCTGCAGACGTTTGTCACTTGGTTGGTCACAACAGCCAGGACAGAACTGGTCAGCTGCTGCTTCTACCCTGCATTCCAGATGGGCACGGGGCTGCCAGGCACCACAAGGATTTATGGGGACACCTGGGCACGCAGCCTCGCCTGCACTCCTGGGCGTGTCCCTGCCTCCCTCACTGTCTGAGCACGTGGGCTGGGCCAGCAGCTGTCGAGGCCCTGGTTCTGTAGAATTACATCTGCACATGCACAGACCAGCATGATGTGGCTCCTTCTGTCCTGGAACCCTCAGCACGGAGGGAAGAAGGACAAGTACACAGACTGGGGTGCAGGGAAGGAAGCCCCTCTGGGTTGGAGCTCAGCCTCAGGCTCCCAGTGGGATGCAGAATAGCACAGCTCAGTGCCTGGAGCTGCTAGGAAATCAAATATTTTCTCACTAGATGTTTACTGAACAGGTATGATTGCCACCTTCGCATTCAGGTTGACCTAGGATCGATGGGAAGGGGCAGACAGAAAGGTGCTGGAAATGCCAAACTCAGCGGGTCTGTAGACTGGTAGTCATGAGGCTGAGGACGATGAAGTTTAGCACGCCTCCCAGGCGACTGCGTGGACCGTGGCGAGGCTGAGCACGGTCAGAAGAGGAGGTTTGAATGACAATTCTAGTAATAAAAACCATGCCCAAGATTCCCGGAACACTCACAATAGACCAGCCAGGCATCCGGCTTAGCTCTCAGCCTGCGTTGTTCCTTCATCCTCATAAGAACCCTATGAACACACTGTTGATTCTTGTTCATGTTTTACAAAACTGAGGCAAATAGAACTTGTTAATTCAGCTCCAGCCCCACTGACCTTCTTCCCGTTTCCCATCACACCATGTTGCTTCCTTTGGGAAGCTCAAATCACCCAAAGGGACATTTCCTCAAACTCCCAATCACATCTTCCCCAACGTAGACTGGGTATGTTTCTGTACTCAAATGTTGATACGAACCTTATTTCAAACTGGGATTCGACCAGTGTATAAGGCGCACCTCAGCTCTGAACTTCCCTGCTGTGTAACTTCCTGTGCACCGCTGTCCCTCTCTGAACCTCTTCGGTAAAATGTGTCAAATGATAACACGGCCCTGAGGGTTGTTGTGAAGAGGAAAGGAGAACCCTCTGGTGAAAGTGCTAGAAAATACAAAGTAAATGGAGAGGGTCTCTAGAGGGCAGCTGAGATCTGCCCGCTGGTCAGGTTCAGTGGTCCAGCTGCCGATCCAGAGCCCGGATGCGAGCGTCCACGTCTGCCCTCATCTGCCTCATCTGGCCCTCCCCAATCCCACGCCGTCTGAATGCCAGTCTGAAAATTGAGTCGAGATGTCTTTAAACACAGCATGTCCTGGTTCCCTGCGAGAGAGTTTGGCTGCTCTGACACCTGTAAAATGGAATTATATCTACAAATTAATTTGCTAGAAATGATCCACATTTCCCAAGACTTTCCTGGAAGCCAATATGAACAATTAGAGCTGGAGATGCAACTCCTGGCCTGATGAGTTGGGGGTGAGGCAGTGATGAACCCACCGCCCATTAGCTTAGGAAGCAGCAGGGCCGGGGGACCCTGGAACAGCTGCAGCTCCCTGAGGAGTGAGGATCCGTCACCCACGGGCCTCCACCCTCCACTTGTTTATTTATTGAGGTGAAATTCACATAACGTAAAATGAACTGTTTTCACACAGAGTGGCATTTAGTACGTTCACAATGCTGTGTAACCACCACCTCTGTCTAGTTCCAGAACATTCATCACCGCAGAGGAAACCCAGTGAGCAGTTGCTCCCCATCCCCCCTCCCAGCCCCTGGCAACCCACGATCTGTCTTCTGTCCCTGTGCATTTACTTATCCTGGATATTTCATATGCGATCCCACCTACGCTAAAATAAAACCGTACCTGAGACAGGCACCAGGCACAAAGGGCTCTGAGCATCCTAGTTGCTGGGACACCCGACCTGGTGTTGGGGCCAGAGCAGAATGACATTTAGCAAGGTTCTTAGCCCCTTCGGGGTGCAGTTTCTTCTTCTTAACTCAGACTTTAATCCCCAGGCTGTGACCGAGATTCATGCTCCAGCAAACCCTCCTCCTCCCCAGACTTTCCCTGACCCTCCGCGACAGACCGCCCTCCACAGCGCACTTGGGTTGCCCCATTTGTATTCTGTCCCAGGTGTCACACCGGTGTTTCCTGTGATGCCTGCACCTTGTTCTCTAGCCACCTCGTGACTTACGGAGTGCGGAAACCACGTGGCATAGCAGATGGAGTACTGGCTTTGCCATCCAAAAAGCTGGGTTCCCGGCCCCGTGTCCTCTCTGTAACAGGCAATGAGTGTAAAGTGAGATGTGCAGTAATGTTCTTTTGTCCTGTCTTTGGCAGCCCCGGAAGTGTTCCAGGTGTATGTGGACGGAGGCCCTGGGTACTCCTACCCCGTTGACTGGTGGTCCCTGGGTGTCACGGCCTATGAGCTGCTGCGGGGCTGGGTAAGATGTGCGCCTGTGTGGTGAACGCGAGGGCTGTGGAAGTGGGGGGCTCAGCTTCTACCAGGCTTGGGTGGGGTGGAATGGCCCTGCCGCTGGATGTGCACCATGCCGGCCCTGGGTGTCAGTCCTGATTGCCCGTGTGCCAACTCCAAGGTCCTGAGCATTAGAAAGCTCTTAACAAGCTTCTGGTCCAGCCCCTCATTCTACTCACGGGGACAGGGATGTCCAGAGGGGCAGAGTCTTGTGTGAAGCTCAGCAGCTGATCCGTGGCAGCTCAAACACCCAAAGCATCTTGGTGTCATGATTTCAAATGCTGTCGTCTTTCAACCCACAACATGAGGCTCCCGTGCCCAGCTTTCCAGCTTGGTTTTTTGTTGTTGTTATTTTAGTTCCAACCTTCCCCGAATACTTAGCTCAGTGTCCTGTAAAAATGGGGCATTCGATACGTATTTTTGTTTTATTTCTTTTAAATTTAAAAGCTGAAGATGACTAATGGAGCTATTTGGCAACTAATAACTCAGTTTTATTTTAGCAAAAAGAATTATGACAAACGAATTTCGAGGCTTTTTTTTTTTTTTACACAAGTATCATTTGAAAATGACGCCATTTAACCTCTCAGGACCATGGTTTCCCCTTCATACAATGGGGATAGGAACATCCTCTCTGTCTATTCTGTGGTGCTGAAGTTATCCTGGGATCGATGCACCCCTAGACTGGGACACTCAGTTTGTGTATTACCCACCTTATAGCTCCAGCACCCAGCACACAGCGTAGAGAGTCAGTTCCTCCCATTGGATGCTGCTTTACCAGTGTCTCACGGTCATCTGCATATATGCATATTAAGGCGGGTAGACGGTGCCCTTGAGGGCAGGAGCCCCCAGTGCACAGTGATAACTGGTGGGAATGAATGAGGGAGTGAATGATGGCAGCTGTGTGAAAACCATACAAGCTATGTGAGTGTCATTAGTTATCACCGTGTGGTTCAAGCAACTGGGGTCTCTCTTGGTCTCAGTGATTTCCCCTGAATTCCTCAAAAACATACTACAGTACATGATGTTGTTAGAAAGCAAGAAATATGTATATGAACTTGTGAGTTTTCTCGGGCACTGAATGAAAACAATTCATCTCTCCCCACCTCCCTGGTTGGTTCCTTTGTCGTGTACTGGTTCTTTAATATACATGCTCCAGGAGGGGACATGAGGGTCCCCATGATATTTGTATGAACCAGAGAACACAGACATCACCAGATGATGTTTATCACGGAATCAATCATACAAATGACCTTGGCAAGCAGTTGACCTAAGCATGATTGGTCGTTTGCCAGCAGAAAGTGTATTCTCTGCCGGAATACAAGTCAGAACAGTCAGAGATGATGACTTGGCAGAAAGCCCCAAGGGCTTCAAAATAAAACGTTTCGTTTTCAGTGTATCTGAGTTTTCTGCTTAGGGATCCAAATGCCACTTTTAATAGAAGAGGGAGGGTCCCATGGTGGGATCGGGGCTTTGGTGTGGGGACAGAGTGAACAAGAATGCCTGTTATGGGTTGGTGTGACTCTGTCTCCCAGATATCTTGGTCTGTTCATCTTTGACTTGAAACACAATGGGTTTATGCAAATAGTTGATTCTGTTTTTTTAATCCTGGAAACGATCACATTTAGTCCAAAAGCTATACTGAAAAACACTCATATTTTTCCATGGACTGTGTGAATTTAGAAGTTATCCTTCCTCATTGAAATTCCTCCATCATGTCAGTGACAGCATCCCTGATAGGTGATCACCCCCCTGTTCCTTGATTCCCTCAGGATCCAGGGGACTCCTTACCTCCAAAAGATGAAAGTCATGATGGGAATTTTCGAACACATATTCTAATATCATAGAGTTGGAAAGCGTTAGAAATGAAAGGTGGGAGATTGAAGGTATTAATATGGTATGTTAGCCAGGGACCCAGGCATGCTCTAGTCTTAGAGCAGAAAGAGACATCTCTCCCGAAATGCTCTATCAGGAGAGCAGAGGAGTGGAATGTCATCAGTGGGCTTGAAATTTCAAGGCAGAGAATTCTGTGAGCCTGCTTGGATCCCGTAGCCCAGACGAGGGGAGTAACTTGTACCCAACTTTCCTATGAGCCCAAACAAGAATCTCAGTTCTCACCCTGAGACCTGCTAAGTAAAAAAAAAAAAAGACTCAAGAAGCACCACGCAGCTGCATAGCACAGGGAGATCAGCTCGGTGCTTTGTGACCACCTAGAGGGGTGGGATAGGGAGGGTGGGAGGGAGGGAGATGCAAGAAGGAAGAGAGATGGGAACATATGTATATGTATAAATGATTCACTTTGTTATAAAGCAGAAAGTAGCACACCATTGTAAAGCAATTATACTTCAATAAAGATGTAAAAAAAAAAAAGAAAGAAAGAAAGCACCACCTGGAGAGTTCCCTTTTGAGCACAGTTGTCTCAGGGACTGTGACCACACCCCCTGAAGAGAACCCCGTGGGGACAGAGAGGAGAGGGAGGTTTCTCATCCACTGAACCAGAGAAGGGACTTAAAGGTCTTACCCAGCCCCTGTTTCCCCACCTACCAGGCTCCTTGATGGTTTCCCTGGCAGTGTCACCCACCTGTCCACTGGTTTTCCTCCGCATGCACAGGGCTCTTATATCCAGAAAGAACGTGTTTCATTTTTTTTAAAGCCCTAATGGCTAGAAAGATTTTCCTCTTACTCAACTGAAAGCTGCCTCCTCGTAACACAGAAAGAGGATCTTAGAAGAATTCACAGGTTCAAACCCTGGCTCTACCAGGCACCTTGTCTGTGATCTTAACCAAGGCCAATAGACAGACCAAATGCTGAGAATCCTCATCTGTTAACCGAAAAAATAATAATAATAGTAACACCTACCCAACAGGGTGGCTGTGAATATTAAGTGATTCTGACGATGCAAATTACCCAGCTCTGTGACTGATAAAGGGTCGGCACTCGGTCAATGTCAGCTCCCCTCCCCTGGTCTCTCTGATTCCCATGCGGGGGGCCTGCTGGCAGGTCTGCATTCTTTCCAACTTAGCACCTCTCAAGGTGGAGACAGGCCCTGGGAGAGGAGCTGAGCCACATGTGGCTGCTGACCGTTAGTGGGGAGGTCCCTGGCCCGGTGGGCAGAGGTCCGGGCTCCCATCCACGCCCCGTGTGCCTTGATGCTGTGATTCCGCCTTAGTCACTTAACTCATCTGAGCCCTGGCTTCCTCCTTCATGAAATGGGGATGATGAGGCCGGCCTGCGGGGTCACCGTGGGGATTCCAGGAGAAAATGTAGGCGGAGCACACGCGGCGTGCAGCACACAGGAGGGATGTTGACTGCTACATAAATGTGCACGCGGTGATGATTCTGAGACAGGTAGCTGCAGAGACAGTGCTGATGACTGCTCTTAGGGGAGCAGGGAAGAATTTCTGAGGGAGGAAGTGTTAAGGGGGATCATATATGAGTTGGTTGGGAAACCGTGTGAGCAGAGACCGGGAAGGGCAGCTGAGGCTGACACAGCAGACATCTTAGACTGACCAGCAGTCAGAAAGACAGTCTGAGGGCTGTCTAGAAAGGACCCTGAGGTCAGCTGGAGGCACTGGCTTCACTCTGTAGGCAGTGTGGTGCTGTCCATGGAAGCGACAGCATGGTGGTCAAGCGAGAGTCTGGGCTTTGGAATCACACGTTTTGGGGATCAAATCCCAGCTTTGTTGCACAGTTTCTGAATGTCTGGGGTGAGCCTGTTTCTTGTCTATCAGATGGGGAGAACAGTGGTTGCAAAGCACAGGGTTCCTCAGCCTCAGCTCTACGGACGCTCGGGACTGGGTACTGCTTTGTGATGGGGGCTGCCCAGTGCACTGTAGGATGTTTACCTGCATCCCCGGCCTCTACCCACTAGATACCAGCAGGACTTTGCCCCCACCCAGTAAGGACAGCCAAAATGTCCCCAAACATTGCCATATGTCCCCTGGAGGGACAGATTATCCCCGGTTGAGAACCACTGCCATGGAGTAATCAAGGGGACTAAAGGAGACTCTGGTAACCAAACGTTGTCTTCTACATCTGTGACTCTATTTCAGTTTTGTAGATAAGTTCATCTGTACCCTTTTTTTAGATTCCACATATAAGTGATATCATATGATATTTGTCTTTCTCTGTCTGACTTACTGAGGGATAAATTGGAAGATTGGGTTGGACATATACACACTACTATATAAAATAGATAACTAATAAGGACTTACTGCATAGCACAGGAAACTCTACTCAATACTCTGTAATGACCTATACGGGGAAAGAATCTAAGAAAAGAGTGGATATATGTATACGTATAACTGATTCACTTTGCTGTACACCTGAAACTAACACAACGTTGTAAGTCAACTATACGCTAATAAAATTTTTAAAAATAAAGTTGCAACTCCCCTCCTTCCCCCGCCCACAGACACCTCAGGCCCTCCTTTTTCTCTAAGACACGTAACACCATGTAATATCTATTTTACGTGTTTTGATCGTCTATGTCCCCACACTAGAATGTAAACTCCACGAGGTGGGGACTTTTCTGTTGTTTATTTACTAAAGTATTCCCCAGCCCCTAGAGCAGAGGTTGGTATACCTTGGGGACACAATATTTGCTGACTAAATAACAGATGGATAAATAAAGTCTCAGTCAAGTTTCTTAAAAATAAATAAATAAATAAATGAGATTCTGAATGTCATATCACTGACCCATGGCCTTGCAGCAGGGGGTGGAGCCCTAAGAGCCCACGCTATGGTGCCATGAGGACTCCTACCCTCTCTGCTTCCCCCAGCCACCTGCCTCACGCGGTATTACCCTTGCCTTTGACCTCTGTCAGCACTTCTCCTTAGGGTTCAGTAGGCAGAGAAGGTATGGGTGATGGCTAATAGAGGAAGGGGTATGGTGCTCCTAGAGGTTGGAGCAGAACTAAGAACCGCTGGGTACACACCGGATGGTGGGCTCAACCACAGAGACGAGGAATC